ATTCGCTGAAGAAACTGTCTTTTCTCTGACATGTGTTTTTCTCATTTTTAGTCACAAATTAAGTGGTTACAGTTGTGTGAGTCCTCTGTTCTAGTCCATTGCTAGGGCCTGTTTTTGTGCCAGTATCATGATGGTCTTGTTACTATAACTTGTACTGTAACTTAAAATCAAGCACTGTAACACCACTAACATGATTCTTTGTCCTTAGTATGACTTTGGCTATTCAGGGTCCTTTGTGCTTCTGTATGAATTTTGTTTTTAGTTAAAAAAAAAAAAAAGTAAAAATTAAAAAAAAAATAAAAATAAAAACAAAACAGCAAAAAAAAAAAAAAAAAAAGAAAAGAAAAAGAAAAAGAAAAAAGAAAAGAAAAGAAAAAGTCTTCTGCCAGGTATGGTGGCCCACACCTGTATTCCCTGCACTCTGGGAGACAAAGGCAGATGGATCTCTGTGGGTTCGAGGCCAGCCTGGTCTACAAAGTAAGTCCAGGACAGCCAAGGCTACACAGAGAAGCCCTTTCTTGAAAACTAAAATAAATAAATAAATAAATAAATAAGGTCTTTATTAATTCTTCTTGACTTTCATACAATGTGTTTTGATCACATTCACTTGCCACTCAACCTCTTGAACTCCCATCTCCCCCCACCTCCAAATTCATGTCCTTGTATTTAAAAAAGAAAACATAAGCCTCCACATCCAGTTTATGCTATTTAAATGGTCATGGCTATCAATGCCAGCCAGTGGAGTAGGCTTGACCTACCAGGGTCAACCTTTAGAAAGAAACCCTGACTTTCCCAGAAGCCATCAGCTGACTGTCGCTCCTCAGTTAGGTGTGGGAGCTCTTCCTTCAGTGAGAAAGTTGATTGGTTGGCCTTGTACAAGCCCTATGCAGCCAACCACAGCTGATGTGAGCCCTGCATTCCCAGAAAACACGCTTCTCTCTGGTCCTTCCCAACCTCTGGCTCTTACAATTCTCCCATCCCTTCTCCCAACGTGATCCCTAAGCCTTCAGGGAGATGTCCCATTTGTGGCTAAGCACCCCACAGTCTTATTGTGTGCGCTTTGACCAGGCCCAAGTTTCTGTGCTAGCCACCATGCAGTGTGCAAAGAAACTCCTTTGATGAGGCCCCGGGAGATTCACAAAGCTTTCAACAGCTTGGTTTGGCTTTTTGGGGGTCCCATCTTACCTTTAAAGGCAGATTCTCTCACTTTCCTACAACTGCTCGTTGTATAGTGCTCGGTGACCACTGTTCTAGCTGGGTGCGCCTCCACATGTAAAGAGAAGGGAGAAACAAACGCAGCCCTGAGAACTGTGTAAACAAATCTGTCTCCACACTTTCAAAACCCTCTAAGCTTGAATCCACCTGCTGGAGGGCAGAGGCTGTGGAGGTCAGGCAGTCTGCTGGAGCGTCAGATTTCTCAGTCTGTACAGCAGTGAACCACAAAGTACACCCAGAGGGCAAACTACCCACTCTCCTAGAGTCAGGCCTAACAAGCTCCAGGTTTACTCTCAATTATTATTATTTTTTCATTCTGAACCACCAAGGGTGGGGGCTATTGTTTTTTGCACACTTCCCTGCCTGTACTGAGCCTCCTGCTGCCTTCACTTTTAGCATGGAGATGCCCAGCCTTCACCCCCCCATCTTGGTTGCCTCCCTCAGCTACCTCTTACCTTGGAGTTATAGCTGGTCTCCGTGTTATAACCCGTTACCAGCCTCTCAGACCATCTTAGTTTTAAGCAGTAAGACCTCTCGCAAACAGCTCCTCGCCATAGACCCCTGAGTCACAGAGAATGACAGAGGGGAATTCCTATTCATTCACTGCCACTGGACTTGAAGCCTTGTAGAGCTGTGGGTAGGTCTGCCAGTGTCCCGCCCGCGGGACTGGTTTATTCGTGGGGGATTCGAAAAGGCCTTCACCTGAAAAGCAAAATGGGCGAGAAAGAAAAGCAAGACCAAGCTGACCAAAGTCTTGTCAAGGTCTCGTTTATTGAAAGCCAAGGTACAGAATATAAACGAGGGAAAGGGAGGAATGGGGAGAGGGAAGGTGAGCTGTTAGGAGGGAGGAATTCGAGCTGGAATTTGCATTGACTCCAGCTCAAAGGCAGGGTGAGAGGGACTGTTAGTGGAGCTATCTGAGGGCTACTATCTTGCAAATTCCCTCAGTAAGCCTTTTCTGCGCTAATCTATTCCTGTCGTCTTGAGTCAATGTTTTTCTAAGGGAGGAATCCTTTGACTCCCAGCCCAGGGTAGGTCGGAGGGACTCTGTCTCTGACTCAGGGTCAGTCTGAGATATTTCTCTGGCTCATGGCTCAGGATCAGTCTGAGATATTTCTCTGGCTCATGGCTCAGGGTCAGTCTTTGGCATGCCAACATCTTCTCGGCCTGGCCACCTGGCTGACATTTCTGCTATAGCCCCCTTTCCGGGGAGCTGAGGGGGGTTTCTTTCTACTGAGTTGCCCTTCTGTTTCTTCGTGAATCTCTGACTCACCCCCCCCACCCCCACTTGCTAACCTTGGAGCATGCTCCCTGGGAGGCAGGCCAACTGATTTTTAGCATCCATGCTTAGAGAGAGCCAGCTCTGCCTCCACAGTCACACACTTCACAGCTGCAGAATCTCTACCCAGAAGCACAGCACAGTGAGGTCCCAGCAGGAATCTGTGTCCCCATTCCCTTTTTACAGATGGAGAAATTGACACTTTTTGAAATTATCTTCAGGGAGGAAGTCTTGTACCAACTGTAAACTCCTTTTGCTTGGTTATCATTGCCCTACGGATCAATATGAATTGTAAAAACCCCACACCAATCATCTACCACAACATGACTGGTTGTACTTCGGTAGCGTTGGGAGTAACCGTCACACGAGCAGTGTGACATAAACTAAAACCTTCATGATTTCAAACCTCATTTCTTGAGGTTGGCTAGAGGACAGCCAGACTTTCTGGGCACATATTTCAGCCTTACCTCCTAGCTTCTCTTTCAGCAAGGGGTAGCCATATGACAGAGTGAGTGGAATGGGAACATAAATGAATGCCACCCCCAGGTATGGCCCATGGAACCTGTTCAGGTAAGATACCCCATATCTTATCCTGGTGTGGTAGTTAAGATGTCAATATCCAAGAAGCCCTTGAGAGCCTCGTCTTCGGTATGGCAGGCTCGTCATCCCAGGTCCTGGATGGATATGGAGAACTTTCCTCCATATCAACTTCAGAGGAGTAAATGGTAGGACCTAAATAGGAAGCCAGTTCTTCTTGCTTCCCCCCCTTCATGAACAAAGCCACAGAAACTGCAGCCTTCCATGACCTGCTTGAAAAGCAAAGGAAACTCCAGTTAATTTTCTTTTTGTTACTCCCACCGCTACTTAAGTATGGCTGGTGCTGAGTTTTCACAATTCATATTGATCTGCGGGGCGCTAAAAACCAAGCAGCAGAGTTTAGAGTCGGTGCAAGACTTCCCCCCAAAGCTTTTTCCTTTATTCTGTGCCACTTGTCTGACACTCCGGCCTCTGGCTGCCTGCAGCTCCAATTCCCTCCTCGGAAAGCCATTCTTGGCTGTCTCCTTAGGTAAGCACGCATATGATGCTGTATTGCAACATCCAGGCTTTTTGCTCAATAGCCATCTGCTGATGTGGTGGGCATGCTTTTAAGAACAGCTGCCCTGCCAGCTCAGCCTTTTTTCCTGGTCCTCTCTCTGGCCTGGAAGAAATAAAGATATTCTAAAGAGATGCTAGGCATCTCTCAATCTGATCACCACACTACTGAATGAGTGCACCCCTTACCCCCAACTAAAAAAAAAAAAAAAAGATGAAAATTTCCCCCAGGAAGTTCATGCTGGTAGAAGAAACGAATACCAGCCTGAGCGAGAACTTGTCTCAGCTCTAACAACTCATTAGATCACCTTATAGACCCCATGTTCGGTAATCTTACCACCCCTTTGGAGGGCCAAACATGAAAACTAAATTCAAAACTAGCAGGTTGAATCATATGGCTATATTGCTTTTTATAAAACAGTGTAATCCAAATTAATGAGGAAAATGGTTTAAAATATCACTTAAAAAAAAAGTAAGTAGAGATTAACGGTAAGAAGGCAGAAGAGAAAGCTTGGACAGCTCTAAGCACTTACTTGCCTTCAGGTTTGTTTGTTTGTTTGTTTTTCTATGGGACTGTGTTTTAAAAGTCATGCATTTGTGCATGGACTGGACATAGGCCCACAACACACTTGTGACTGATGGGCAGCTTGGTCCTCATGCGAGTCCCCTAGCAATAAGGGGAGCGTGGGTCATATCTGACATGGACTCGGTTGCCTGCATTTGGATCACTTGCCCCTAGCTGCATTGCCTTTCCTGGCCTCAACAGGAGAGGGGGTACTAACTCCTGATTCAAATTGATGGGCCGGGATGGCTTTGTGAGGGAGGGTCCCCTTTTCTGAGGAGAAGGAGAAGGATGAGGGCGGGAGGGTGCAGCAGGGAGGGGGCTATGATCGATGTGTAAGGTGAATAAATGAATACATTTAATTTTGAAAAGTCATGCGTTTCTACTTACACAGCACTGAAGCTGTTGGGCAGAACTTCAGGTTATTGACTGATCAGACCAGGATTCAAGGGTCATCCGTGTGCTCAGAGTTCTAAGCAGGAGGCATCTTATCAATTCTGTATGAAACACTGAGGTCCTGAACCTCACTTCAAATCGAGGAAAGATGATAAGAAGATAAGATAGGTAGGTTTGTTAGATTTTTAAGTAACTTTTTAAACTCAAGGGCTTACAAAAGAAGAGTCAGGCAGGCCCGCTTGCCAGGCTGTCTCCCAATAGGCCTCATTCTAAGGCAAAGCAGCATTTTCTAAAGTTTTCTGAAGTTTGTTGACACCTCTGGAGGGCTCCCGGTGGACTCTGGTTTAGGGGTTACCACTTTGGGTATGTTTGACCTCTCCACTCATGTCACTGAACTGTGATAGATTGGGACTTTAGGCCATTGACCTATGAGCAAACAGACAGTGTTCTGCAAAGAGCCTGATTTCTGTCAGTGCTTTATTACGATGAAGAGTGAAGCTGGGAAGAGGCGTGCCACCTTGACTCTGCACCGTGAGGCCTCTGGCTTCTCCTGGCTTCCTCCAGTTCACAGCCATAGGTGAGTGACTTGCATTTGCCTGTAGCATTATGAGTCTCTGCTTGCCAAGTCTGTTTTGTTTTGTTGGTTTAATCTCATGGGGGCGGAGGGGTTAAATCTTTATGGGACTTGTGTTTCAGATTTACCAAAAGCTTCTCCTTGTCACACGATAAGGCTGCAGTGCTTGGGCAGATGTGAGCATGCATGCCTGACTTCTTGGAATTATATCCAGGCCTGGTGACTGTCTTACAGCAATGCTATTTTGTATATTGGTTGTCTCGAAAATGTGTGTGTGTGTGTGTGTGTGTGTGTGTGTGTGTGTGTGTGTGGTAAAAAATGGGTGAATAGGTTTTAAAAGAGATCACCCCAAGTAAAAAATTGCCAGAAGGATGCCTTTTAAACTTGGCATTATAAAAGCCTGATCCTGTTGGAACTAATAATCACAAAATCCCAAGCCTAAATTTAAAACATGACTTATTCGTTTCTTGCCTGAAACCCTTCGTCAGCTTCTGTTGTTCTTGAGATAAAGCCCCAGATCCCCAGTGCTAAAGAGAACATGGAAGCAAGTGACCCACGGCAGAGGTGTAGGGCGCTCCCCAGGCCCCACTGGCGGTCTTCAGCTCCTGCCCCGGCTCTGTCTCTGGGGTCTGGGACTTCCATGCGCTCCTGCCTTCCCTCCCCTCTTCCCTTGTCTGCTCTGGGTTTCTCTCCAGGACAAATTCATGGTGAACGCGCTCATTCCAGAGTCTCCCCACGCTGGTGCCCGTGCTTCCCCTTCACCTGCGGTCATCACCCCCGCAGTTTTTCACGAATCTCTCACCCACCTTCTGTTCACTCCAGAAGCTCCACGAGGGTGACGCTGGTTACAGGACGATGCTCTAGGCAAGATTTTAGTTGGGAAATAACATCCTGGAGAATTTTATCACTATTCTAAGACTGATGCCGTGGTACCGGAATGGGAAGGCGCACAGCGCGGAAGGATTTTCTGTAAAAAGCCAGAGAGGGACATTCAGTTTATGTCAGAGATACTCAGTGACACAAACAAAGACAATTTGAAAATGAATGACTGTAATAAAATTGTGATTGAGACAGACAGAGAGAGAGAGAGAGAGAGAGAGAGAGAGAGAAATAGAAGGCAGTGGGCTGGTTGCTCTTATTGCAGTGGTATTTTAGGATTCTTCATTTTGAAACCAGCTTCTGAGAGTCAGGTTTTGCTCCCTTCCCCCCTCCCTCCCTTTCTCACACCCCCCCCCCCCCCCCCCCTTCTTCCCCTGCCCCTTCCCTTCTGCAATACCAGCGGCCAGTTGTTAGCGAGGACCAGGGCCTTCAGTGCATCCATCTGCTGCTCTGACCTGTTGTCTCCACCAAGCCACAGTGCCCACCATGAGGTGTGCGCAAGAAACTGGCGCACACTGACTTTTTGTGCTCCAGGATCTTCGCCCCGCACCTCATGGCTTTCGGGACCCTGCGTCTGTCTGTCTGTGGGATCTGCAGGGCCCCTCCTACAGACCCTTCTCTGGATGCTATCAAGCCCCAGGTTCTCCCAGGCAACACACATGGATGCTGGTCTCCGCCCTTCTGCTCAACAGTGCTCTTCCGCAGGCTGATAAAATATGAAAAATCAGTGCCTGCCACTTACCATCAGGGCACTGGGCTTCAGTGTTTCCCTCTGAGGTGGTAAGAGTCCATCCTTTATCAAAAGGAAACGTCACGCTTGTTGAGCAGAGACATATATATATATATATATATATATATATATATATATATTAGACACTGGGGTTTTTGTGGGCAAACAAGTCCTCTCAAAGGATTCCTACTAAGTAGCCAAGTCAACCAACCACTACGTAGCAATCTTGATTTCCTGCTTCAAATGGCTAGATCTTTTGATGTTTCGGAAAATTGATTTTTCTGAAAGACGTTGAAAAGTCTCAGTCTTTTCCTGAGGGATTTAGGGGAGATAAAAATAGTTCAAAAATACATACATACATACACACACACATATATATATATATATCAGAGGAAAAGCAAATAGCATTAAGTCTTGTTTTCAGCGGTGAATTCTGTTGTATTGGTTTAAAATTTTTATTCTTGCAGATTATTAAGAAATTCTGATTATAGCTTTTGGCAATGGATAAAATAGTTTAGGAGCTAAGTAAGCTTTATAAGGTATTAGCTGAAGAAGGATTCAGAGATATTGTGACCGTTTCTGTTGATAAAGGAAAAAAAAAAACAAAACAAAAGAATCCCCCAAACAAATAAAACAAACAAACTCCTCTGAAGGGGGAAGTACAGTCTCAAGAAACCTTCAAACTAAGGTTTATTATTTATTATTCTGTTTATTATTGAAAACAGGATTTCAAGGGTTTTGGAGACTAACAGAGATATGGCCTAGGATTGCTGGACACCTTTTCCAGAATCTTTCCTAAGTCAGCCAGTGGCTGAAGACAGGGTCTAATACAGACTGGTTGCCCTCTACATTGTAATGGTATTAGGCAATCCATCAAACAACCTATTCTAACTTTTTTTTTAGACTATTTTCTAAACAAGATCTTCATTTATTGTTCCTACTAATTTCTGGTTTTCTGTGTACTTTCTCCACACTTAGCACTATAAATTCTTCGGTGTCTTTATGACCTGACATCATTAAAATTTTCAACACAATGGCTTCCAAACATCATGCCTGTGCTGGCTGAGCTACCCAGAGATTCTGGCAGCACCTTACAATTCTCACAGAAAAACTGGTGGATGTCTTTGGCCCTGGAGCCATGTGCCTTGTGAAATATGTCAAGAATTGAATAGAATTATGTAGTTCAAAGTGACGATGAAAAAGAAAAAAACATCCTCCGACAATTCAGGAACTGGTCTATCACTTCAGTGAAGCTCTGTTATTCTCCTATTAGCCATAAGCAATCTCAGAGCACTAACCTCTGACTTACTCTGAAGCATACATAATAAAATTAAATAGCACAGGAACAATTAATAATTTTACAGCAAAATACAGAACACGAGTGAGTGGTATTTCTTTACCTATCATCAAGCTTCCCAACTTTTGACAGCATCTATTTAGCACAAACTCTCACCTTCTTGGGCCCTCCTTCAACTGATCTATTGGAAGCTAAAGTTCTCTACCAGGACCTTTTTCAAAAATAGTTTCTTACTGAGATACCTCATGACCACCAATGTGACCTCCCCTCTGACTCAACTTGTTGGCTTTTACTTATGTTCATGGTAGTCTTTGCTGAAGGACATTGATGATGTCATGAGCATAGAAACCCCTGCTTGGAATAAAGTTTTGTCTTTGAGAATATTTCATTTTCATAATAACATAAAGATCACAGAAATGAATTCTATGAGTGTCCAGAAAGACACAAACTATAAAACAACAACAACAAAACCCTCCTATGTGGGATTGCTGAGGGGCTGGAGTGGGAGAGTGAATCCCGGTTAGTGAATTGCCTGCAAAGGACCCTGAATGGCAGAGTTGGGGGTGGGTGTGGAATGAGGGGTTTAGGTGTAAAAGCGTAAAGGGCAAAAGGAGCTCACATTCTTTCCTCTTGTGGATATTACCAGTATCAGCACATCGGAGTTAGGATGAGTTAGTCAGGACCCAGAGATATGTTTGAAAACCACGATTGGGTTGGTGGTTCGTACCTATAATCCCAGCACTCAAGGGGGCAAGTTAAAGACCACCTTGTGTTTACATAGTGAGTTCCAGGCCAGGAAGAGCTATGAGTGAGACTTTGCACCAGCTCTCATTGTACCCTGAGTCCAAAAATATAGTGGAGCAGCCAGCAACAGCAGGGCCTGTGAAAATTCCCAAATCTGAGGGAAGGCACTTCACTCTGGCCTCTCAATCCTACTGAAGACATGCCCAGTGGTAGAAAGAAACTTCTTAAATGAATTAGTGGGTTAGGAAAAATACTTGGTGACTGAATTAAAAAAACAAAACAAAACAAAAAAAAACTTGTCTCCCTGATCTCAAGGAAACCCACCCCTCACTAATTGCTACTGATGCTTCAGGAAGATGGGGAATCATTGCCTTCAGCATCTACTGCTCCCCCCCACCCCCAAGGCTCCAGTGGATAGTTCCAGTCCAATAGTCCCACAGATGGCCCTGGTTAAAATAGATAGGTCACACAACACAACACAAAATTATGAATCTGGGAAAGTAGAGATTGATAGGGATGGAAAGAAGATAAAAGAGGGAGGAGAGAGAGGAAGAGAGAGAGAGAGAATTTACTATGTGTCTTTCTCTTTCCAATCCTTACTTCTCCTGGATTCCTCTAGTTGCTTCCTTTACTGTGTACACCTATTCTGGACTCATTCTCTTTTTCATTTATACTTTCTTCAGTCTTTTGGTTCCAAAGACGTTCTGCAGTAAACATGCAAACACATGTCTCTCATATAATGTGAGTTTGAATCTAGGCTCCACCCATTACCAACCTGTGCTTTTTAGGATGTAGCTCAATCCCTTCATGTCTTAGAGTCAGGGTCTGGAAAATGTGGAAAGAGGTAGCTTCCATCTCAGGAGACAAGGGTTTATTCATTTGGGGTTCTGTTTTGTTTTGTTTTGTTTTCCTGGGCAGGGCTTCTCTGTGTAGCTTTGACTGTCCTGGAACTCATTCTGTAGATGTGGCTGGCCTCAAACTCACAGCAACTCACTTACCTATGCTGGGATTAAAGGTGTGTACTCATCACCCCACTGAGACAAGAGTTTAATGTTTTTGTTGTTGTTATTGTTGTCTTGTCTTGTTTTGGGGTTTGTTTGTTTGTTTGTTTGTTTTTATTATTGGTTTTCCCCTCCGGCTGTCCTGGACTTGCTCTGTAGACCAGGCTGCCCTCAAACTCACAGAGATCCACCTGTCTTTGCCTCCAGAGTGCTGGAATTAAAGGTGTATGCCACCACGCTTAATAATTTGTTGGTTGCTTGGTTGGTTTTTGTCCCTGCCTCCCAGGCCCTGAGAGTGTGTGTTCAATACCCTTCTTCTACTGTCCTGTTCTGGGGATCAAAGTATGATTATCAGGCTTGGTGGCAAACACCTTTAGCTGCTGAGTCTTCTTCCCAGCCCCTCTTCGAAGGAGTTAAAGAAAAGGCATATGTAAAGAACATCCCTGGCTTATACTAAATGCCATTTTAGTTTTAATTGTTTTTGAAATTATTAGGGAAAATAGCAGAATAGGATATTCTGCAACCTACCATTAACATATTTAGTCTTTCTCCTTATTTCCAATTCGCTCTCCAAAGCTGTTCAATCAGCCTATATTTTCATTAGCTGTACCAAAGAGAGCTCTCCCTCCATCCTCACTGCCCTTTGTACTATTGGAGTTTAGTCCGTGCCTGTGTTTCGGCCAGTGGTGTTAGTACCATTTCTGACCATGACCCAAAATTTCTTTGTTATGTTTGCAAAACCTTGTTTTTTCTTTCTTCCAACTTTATAGGTCTTCTAAAGCCATGACTTGATATTAATTATATCAAATACTTTTTCTGACTGTATTAAAATAAACACTTGTCTTTCTAAATAATCACTGCATGCTCCAGATCAGCCTTGCTTCGTTGCATTTTGTAAACTGCTGGATTACATTTAGTGTATCTTAGCTCTTTAAAATCATGTTTCTTATGAGTCTATTTTTTTCTCCTTATAATGTTTTTTTTTCTTTCTGATGTCAAGGTTAAAGTTGCCTTATGAAAAGTCCAGTAGCTGTTCTACGTTACTATTAACAAAACAATTGATAGTGTTCACTGCAGCCGCGTATATGCTAACGTGAACAGTACAGAGGTTAGAGCGGCCCCTGAGCAAGAATGACACGCACATTTGTGAAGCGTTCCATATTTTTGATGACTCTGTTTTTTGTTTCTCATATTTTTGTTTTCTATAATGCACAGGTTAACTAAAACAGAAAGGTACTTTTAGAAATCTGTAAATAAAAAGCCAGGTTATATGCAATATTGTAATTACTCGGTCTTTAAAGTTTAACCTAAGTCTATTGGATTATTTTTTCAGAAGGGAGGAACTGAATAAATATCCTTAATAATTATTAGTTTTACATTTTTAAATTTTCTTCTGAACAGAATGTTTTTCTCTTCATACCTTTTCTCAAAGAGTTTTGTCCTGGTTTTCAAGTTTATTACCATGAAGTTACACACAGTGTTTGATTATGATTTAAACATTTTCTGTCTGCTTCTGCCTATTAGTTTTTTATTGTTTACTTGTGACTTGTGTAAGTATTCTTGAGATGCTTTGTTGAGCTGTTTGCCTATCTGAAAAGAATAGCTTTTAAATTGCTCTGTCATCTCTATTTTTCCTTTATCTTTTTTTTTTAATCTTACTAATTTTGAAATCCCCTTTTCCCTTTGTTACTGTGAGTTTTGAACCCAGAGCCTCTATCTGTTTGGCAAGTGCTTTATCATGGGTGTCATCCTCAGCCCCTGAACTTTGTTTTTTAAAGCATCTTAAGAAGAATGGCATTCATTCATTAATCCTTTAAAAATTATGTGCATTTATGAAATCTTTGATATCTTTTTAGGTGGATTCAGTCTGGTGCTTTCTCAGAAAATTAGGAATAGTACTACCTCAAGATCCAGCTATATCACTCCTAGGCATTAAATGTATATTTTATTTTTTTATTTTCAGATTCCATATATCACTGTTAAATAACTTATCAAAACTCCTAATTGGGATAGTTTATTGTCAACTTGACAAGATACAAAATCATTGCCGATCAGATAAGCCCCTGGGCTTATTTGTGAGGAAGGGATTGTCCAGATTCAATATCTCTGCTTATGCCTGTGAAGAAATCTTTTGATTAGGTTAGTTAAGATGGGAAGACCCATTCTAAAGGATGGTGGCACCACTTGCTGGTCTTAGGTCCTAAAGTACAAAAAGAGGCAAAAGCTAGCTAAGCACCAGGATCCGTCACTGTCTGTGATTCTGGTGTGGCGTTTCTCGTTCTGAGTGTTCTGTGTGCATGTCAGCCACCTGAGGCAGGCATAATTCACATAGCCTGGGCTTCATCTGCATGAAGGGTACAGCACACTAGTTTTTAGTGTATCAATAGACTATGCTACCTCCCCTGCAATTCAATATCTGAAGATTTGGCTCATCCCCATTAGAACCGTGTCTTCATTACCAGTTCCTCCTTCTTGATCTCCCGTCTACAATTGGTCCAGGTTTAGACCCTCACTTACAGTCTCTACTAGTTGGCCATATTGGATATTTCATATACACAAATGGAAACAGATAATATACCGCAGAGGGTATCATCCCTGTCTTTATTCGTTGAGTATGACTTTCAAGTTTATCCTGGTAGTTTGAATCAGATGTTCATCTATAGATACTTTTCATAATTACTGGAACATCTGGGAATAGATATCTTTGAGAATAAGCTTAACACTCTTCATCTAAACATTGAACATCTTACCTTATTATTTCATAGATTTAATTTTTGTTCCTTTGCAATGTAACAGGCTAAACTCCATATCGTGCCTCGATGGATTATACTGAGGTTTTCTGTTAGTTCTTGTGTTCATGCTGGGTTGTTTTTCATGATCCTTCCTGGATACTCTTTTCTTCTGAGGTACATCCTGTAATAGCTGCTTGGGTTTGTGAATGAAAACCCTCTTGGTTTTCAACCTCAGAATATGCAAGGAATGGTATTTTTTTGGCTCAGTATAAATCATTAGGTTAAAAGTTATTTTTTTTCTCAGCACTTTGAAGATGTTTACCTGCTGTTTTCTATTATCACTTATTGATAACAAAACATTGTCAGTCTGTTATTTCCACTGAGTAATATATTTCATAGATTTGAGGACAGGCTGTAGTTATTCTTGATGCTCTACTCTTTTGATATAAATTGTCCATCGGCTGATTTTTGTTTATGCTGATCAGCTGTTAGAGTGGTTGACAGCTGTTGTTGCTGTAACAAAATCCCTTCCACAAACAACTTAAAAAGGAGAAAGTTTAGTTTTGGAGCATGGTTTTGGCTAACTCTGTTACTTGAGGCCTGAGACAAGGCTGGACATCACGGTGGTGGGAATGAGGGAAGGATGGTACTTCTTGCCCTGTAGTGACCAAGAAGCAAAGAAAGATGCATGAGGGAGACAGGGCATGCTCCCAGTGACTCGCCATCCAGGGCCGTCGTCATCTCCCAATAGGATATTCAGATTCTGGATCTGGAAATGGACTAATCCGTTTATGAAGATAGAATCTCCACTATCTAACCCTTTCCCCAAAGCCCCATCACTGAACACTGTTTGCACTGGGGCCAGGCCTTCAAGGCATGCATGACACAAAATAAAACCTACTGTTAATCATATCACTACTTTTAGAAAATTGCTATCAATCACTCCTTTAATTATTGTATCTGTCATTTCCATCCCAAGTGATTCCAATTAGGTGAAGTTAGGAGCTTTTCCCAAGTCTGCCTTCAACTCTTTTATCTGTATAATATGCAGATATAATTGTATACAAACATATGTATGCGTGTGTATGTGTATATCTAATGTATATACCACCATCTCCTTATATAACCTTCATGCATTTCATCTTGAGCTATAACTCCATAGGTAATACTTGGGAGCAAGTGTTCAGGGGCTTCCCAACTGTGCAAAAGGTTCATAATCCTGTAGCCTCCCACGGAAAGGCATTCTTTGCTCCTCTGTCTGGTGTGGAAACTGTTAGTCTTTTCAGGAGCTAAACTCTCACACCCCTGTCTGTATCTAGAACCTACAGTGAAAATACCAACTGGTGTGTTCCCTTATCTTCTACTGACTGTTCATGGAGACATTTATTTTTATTGTCTTGAGTCTGATTTCATTTTAAAAAAAATGATGCCTATCGTTGCTATGTATTTGAAGCAGAGAAAATTTATAAAGAGAGCTGTGATCAAAACTAATCCTAACTTCATGTTTTATTCAGTGCCTTCTCTGCTTCCTTGGTTCCAGCTAGACTCATCTTCCCCTGGGGCTCTGTTTACAACAGACCACTGACACTATCAGAAAGGACTTGGGTGTTAGTATACCAACTATGCTTAGGAATCCCATTGGTTAGGCCACAGGGAAGGGAACAAACTCAGTCCTCATGTGAATAGATGAGCTGGAGTGTCTGGGTAGGGGAGCTCCCCTATTCTTCTGAAGAATAGGGTAGGGGGATGCAGGAGGGAGGGGGGACTGGGAGGAGAGAGGCAGGAGCCTATAACCAAGATGTAAATTGGATTAATTAATAAAAAAATGAAAAAAGAGAATACCATCAGTTGCTGGGCATGGTGGCACACACCTGTGATCCCAGCACTAGGAGAGGCAGAGGCAGGTGGATCTCTGTGAGTTTAAGGCTAGCCTGATCTACAGAGAGTCTAGGACAGCCAAGACACACACACACACAACCCTGTCTTGAAAAAAAAAACAAAAAGAATACCATCAATTTTTTTGTTCTTTTAACACTATAATGATAATTTGTTTAAAATAAAGCACAGATAAATAGAACAAATAAATTTAAAAACAATCATCATTTACCCAACAACTAAAGAAAACCATTTTCTTATAAGCAAATGCTCTTTTATTGAACTGTTTTCTCCCATTGCCTCTTAACCAGCTGGGCATCCCACTGTACCGCTGTTGATGCCATCTGTGATGTCATGAGGGTGGCGGCCCATCCACACTGCAGCCCACAGATTGTGCGGGGCCCAGGATCTCCTTAATATTTCCAGAAAGTTCTCTGGCTAAAGACTGGGGCCGCATCTGCTAGGAATGCTGACATTCCTCATCAAAAGTGACATTTCCACGTTGTTTAATGTCCTTCTACTTCTTTCTGTCTCCTGGTGGCTCTTTGAGGGCGTGGATGATCTGGCAGAGGCACAGGCCACCACTTGTCTAGGCCTGTCTCTTCTGGATGGTCAGCTGAGTAACAATGAATGAAATTATGACTCCAATCCAGTTCTCCATTTATCTTTCCTAATATGTAATCTTGTTCATTAAAAGATCTGCTTTTGGTAGCCTTGACCCCTGCAGCTCCTTCAGTTCTTCCTCCCACTCTTCCACAAAACTGAATAAACTAACCTGGTCCCAGGGGGGCTCAGAGACTGAACCACCAACCAAGGAACATGCCTGGGCTGGAGCAGATGTGCAGCTTGGTTATCTTGTGGGTCACCTGACAATGGGAGGAGGGATTATCTCTGACTCTGTTGCCTGCCTTTGGATTCCTTTCCCCTGGTCAGGCTGCCTTGTCTGGCTTCAGTGGAGGGGATATGCTTAGACCTGCTCTGACTTGAGGTGTCAAGGTGGGTAGGTACCCCTTCGGCCACCCTCCCCGTTCTCTGAGAAGAAGGAAAGGGGGAACAGAGATGCAGGGCTTGAGGGTGGGACTGGGAGGTGATGAGGGAAGGGGCTGGGATTAGGCTGTAAAGTGATTAAATAAATGAATAAATAAGTTTAAAAAAATCTGTTTTTGTTTGAGACTGACTTCGGAAGCTTGTTTCTTGGACCAAGTCACTTGCTTATTTGGCTACTTTTGTTAAAGAGAAAATACATCGTAATTGCAGCAACTGCTTTATTTTCTAGGTTGTTGAGCACAGACTGCAGACACCATGTCTGACTCCGTAATTCTTCGCAGTGTGAAGAAATTTGGAGAGGAGAATCATGCTTTTGAGTCGGATGGATCATGTAAGTGGCCTTTGCATTTCCTTGACGCTTGCGCAAAGCCAGGTGAAGACGAAGGTGAGACAAGCCTAAGCGAGGTTTCAGGAAGCGGAGAAAAACCTGCTGCCTCATGGGGAGCTCTTATTGAGCACGCAGAGGGCTTTCTCTAGAATGCGTGCCATGTCACACCTGGAAGTCCTGGGTTGGAGTGCATCTCCCGGGAGCACCTCCTGCCTAGCGAGAGTAGCGTTGTTCAGCCCTGATCCTTGTAGTACCTTTACCCCATAGCATTAGGGATGACCGGATCGCCGCAGGGACAGTAATCGTTAAGGGTTTCTGTTCGTGAAACAGGCCATCCAAACACAACAATGAGATGGTGTGGGAGGGCCCCTGGCTTGTTGCGAACACTGATTCTATGCTGCCATTCATTGACTAAATCATATGATTCTATGTTTTACAGATAGAGAAATTAAGACTTCTCTAACTTTTTAAAGGCTGGTAAAAATCACATGAGTAATGATTCATGGAATCGTGATTCTGATCCAGTTTTCCAACTCTCTCTCCTCTTTTAAGATTTATTTATTATTTATACGGGACTCTGCCTGCATGTATGGGTACATACCAGTAGAGGGCACCAGATCTCATTATAAATGGTTGGGAGCCACCATGTGGTTTCTGGGAATTGAAATCAAGATCTCTCAGGAAGAGCAGACAGTGCTCTTAACCTCTGAGCCATCTCTCCAGCCCTCCGTTTCTCAACCTTAAGCCCTAATATTTACACTGTAATGTCTCTTTAGTCTACTGCAATTGCATTAAAAATGTCATGGGAACCAGGAAATGATGGCCACGACAGCAAATACTCCTTAGGGTTCTCTTCTCTGCGGTTTCCCTATGTCCTGTAGACACCCACTTCCATTTCCTACTGACATTTGCTCTACACGTGCTAACAAAAATAACATGTAGCTCCATCTTAGGGACTCTGACAGTGATGAAGTAGTAAAGAGATCTTACAGTCATTTGTGATCTACTAAACAGATGCATTTTGATGTTTCTAAGGAATCAAGTGATAAATTAATTTCCATTTTAATAGATAATTTTAAACAATCACATTCACTCCGGCTAATTTATAAATGGTGATTTTCATCGGGCACAGTGGCTCACATCTGTAATTCCAGCCCTTGGGAGACTGAAGCAGGAGAGTTGCCATGAGTCTGAGTTTGAGGCCACAGTGGACTATGTAGTTTCCAGGCCAGTTTGCATTACAGAGTTAGAGACCTTGTCTCAAAAAGGGAAAACAACAACAACAACAATAACTTTCTTTTGCTATTCAAAAGATACAAAAATTTAAGGTATGGAGAAAAATCCAAATATATGGTCAAAGCAGCAGTAGGGGGAGGAGAGGGAGTGAGAAACAGGGAGAGGTGATAGAGAAAGAGAGAGAAAGGCAGCAATTATGTTATAATATTTTATGAATAAAAGCACTTCACAGAAATGCTTTTGACTGACTAATGGTTGCGACGGTGTTGCATTTTGACATGATTATTGACCTCTTTATACATTGTTTTCATCCTGACAGATAACAATGATAAGAAATCAAGGTGAGTGACCATTTCAACAACACAGCATCTTTTCTAGAACGATTTCAGAAAATACAGAGTATTTTCATACACATTACTTACCAGGCATGGTGTGTAAAAGGCTTTCTTCTTCTCTCTTTAGAGAGTTTTATTTGAGAGGGGGTTGTTCTTTGTTTGTTTCAAGATAGGGTTTTTCTGTGTAGCCCTGGCTGTCCTGGAATTCTCTCTGTAGACCAGGCTGACCTCAGACGAGGAGATGCCTGTTTCTGCTTCCAAAGTGCTGGTTTCTTTTTTTTTTTTTTTTTTTTTCTTCTTCTTCTTCTTCTTCTTCTTCTTCTTCTTCTTCTTCTTCTTCTTCTTCAAAGCATGTGGAACAGCCCTTCCTGATGATGCCAGACTTCCTCCCCTTCATTCCAGTCCACCACAGAGCTTCTAGCCCAAAGACACAGGAAAGAGCTGGACAAGAAGTGTGACTTCATGAGTGCAAGGAGGTCCTCCAGCTTCACCCTACCTCCAGAGGTGGCTGATAGGAACCCCAAATTGAATCCCTGGCACTTTCTCTTCAGCTCTTGCTTGAGCTCACATGTAAGCCAGTGTTGAGGCAGGGTTACAGGGGTGTGCATAAGAGCAGAGGAACCGTGTGAGTTCCTGACAGGGAGGGAGGCAGAGGTTTAAGAACTTTGAAGTATGTCACGACAGAAGAAGGTGGCAGAAGGAGTGAGATTATCACTCTGCTAGAAGAAATCAGGTGACCCTGGCCCCAGAGAGTCCCGTTGGGAGGGCAGGAAAGAAACATAAAGTAAAACTCCCTCACCTTGAGGAGGATGGTTTTTCCCCTCTAATTTTTACCACACTCCCCCCCCCCAAAAAAAACCACAAAAAATGAAAATCAAAGTAAACAAATCCCAATAAGACAAAGACTGTCAAAACAAAATAAAAGAAATAAAAAAGAAATAAAAACAAATGACTACTCATGGGACTAATTTTGTGTCAGTCAGCTACTTGCAAAATAAAACTTTTATTCTTCTGATTCATTTGTTGTCTAAGAGGCTTACTGCCTCTGTCTGCTAACCTAGGCCTAGTCCTGGAAGTGTCTAGCCTCTGTAAAATCTAACCTAGGCCTAGAATGTTTTCAGCCTCTGAGGATTACTGTTTAATAAGCTCACCCTTTCTTCTTCTTTCTGAGCTCCAAGCTGGCTGGTTCAACCCAGGTGTTCTGGCTCAGACTCCTCTCCCAGCTGACTTTTTCAGTCTGACTTTTCTCTCAGCCTCTGAATTGCTCTGCTTGGCCTCAAACTAAATCTAGCAATATTTTCTAATCTTCTGGCTACTTTTCATTCTCTGGCTCATTCTGTCTCCACCTGTGTCTAGCTTATTCTCTCATTCAACCTCTCTCCTTAAAACTCTCCTGGTAAAACTGCCTCCTCTCTCTCATTTTCTCTGTTGCTCCCTTATGTAGCTTTCCTTTCCTCCCTCTCATGTTCTCATGAGAGTTGGGCTTATCTTATTCTGTCAAATCTTTCTCTGATTCATCATTGTTTCTACCACTCAATTAGACATCACTTTCAAATATGGGTGCTTCCTTCTACAAACTAACTTTACCTTCATTTTTTTGGGATTAAAGGCATGCACCACCACACCTGGACCTAAGCTTTTCTTTACCTGATACTTGTTCTATACCAGGTTGGCCTTGAACTCAGATCTGTCTGCCTCTGCCTCCTGGATTAAAGGTGTGTTTGTATTCCAGCTGGGTCACACAGACCTAGAAGGTCTTTGGATGTGTTCTCTTGCCAAAGCAGCCTTGTCTGATTTGAAATTCCTCTACAGCTCCTTCTGGGCATGGGGCTTGCTCTGGAGTGTGGTTGATATACCCAGTGACAGTCCATTGGAGAAAATGGATTTCTCCTTCACTAGTAGGTATCAATTGCAATAGCCTCTTGGTCAAGGCTGAGACCTGTCCACTTCTTCCTCTCAGGGCTGGGACCCTGTCTTGTCTTGTGTGTGCTGACACAGCCTCTGTGAGCTCACATGTGCTGTATTCCCTGGAGTTCTCCATCATCTCTGGCTCTTGCAATCTTTCTGCTTCCTCTTCTACATAAATCTCTGAGCCTGAGGGGAGGGCTTTGATGAAGACATCTCATTTAGAAATGAGAGCTTCAAAGTCTCTTCCAATTGCAGGTTTTCCAGTTGTGGGTCTCATCAACTACAAGAAGAAGTTCCTCTGATGAGGGCTGAGCAATGCTCTGGCCTATGGGTATAGCGATATGTCATTAGGAGTCATTTTCTTGCTGTGTTCCTTTAGCAGAATAATTGTAGTAAATTTCCCCCCAGGCTCATGAGGAGGGTATATTAGTGGGGAGTTAGAAATAAACACTATAAACTTAGAAAACACATTGCCAAAACAGAAAACAAACAAAAAAGAAAACATGTACCGTATCTACTGAGAGTGTATAACCTTTTTTTTTCTTTTTTTCTAAATAAAGAGTGAATTGGAAGTGATGATAGAAGATGGAATGTGCGTGGCAGGGCAGATGTTCTTGAAATCTTAATGATCTCCGCTAGAGAAGGGCCTGCTGAGGAGACGTGGGAGTCTGAAGTTAGAGTAACTGTTCACACGGCCATCTAAGAAAGGGCAGTTTGGGAGAGAGCACACCTGGCAAAGACAAATGGGTAGCATGTTAACAAGAGCACATGCGTGTGTTTAAAGACACACACATACACATATATATGTACTAGAATATACATACATACATACATACATGTCCTGCTGAGTCCAATTAGTGTTGCCTACATACATACAGGTCTAGGGCTGACCACTGGGCAATCTACTAAGGATCTCGTTCCTGTAGAAAATGGAGCCCATTTTCTTCAGCTGCTATTGCTGCCTATAGGTCCTCAATGAGGTGTGGGGTCTTGTGAACCCTTCCCTCATCCATGTTGTAATGCTGAATGGAATGTGCAGGACTTGTCCAGGCTCCTACAAGCTGTTGAGAGTTCATGGGTGCAAAATACATTGAAATACTGGGCTTGGCCAGAGTTTTCCAGCCAGAGGGAAGTTCATACTTATTAAGGAATGACTCTGAAAAGGGCCACATAGGAAGAACTTCTCATCAGTTTTGGAAACACAGCCTTTAAATACCTGTTTTTGTTTTTGTTTTTATTTCTCCTCAGGCTACAAGATAACAAGAAAGGTGAAGAGAGTCAAGTTGGCTTCTTCAAGCTGGTAATACAACTTCGCTGATTTATTTGATTGATTTTACAACTGTGAATTATTCATACAATGGAGGAAGTGCCAACTCCTTAGTCATACTGACAGGACCTAACTCTAGTGACCAGCCAGGCAGTCATGAGCTTTACCTGTGCGGTAACATGCTGAATAGCGATTAGAAGCTCAGTGTCCAATATCTGCAGAGCCACTTGGAATAGAATCAGTGGACTTGCGATTATACTTTTAATGAGGGAACCTTCACAATAGCTCCCAAAGCAACAGATCGTTCAGAGCCATCCCTATGAGAAGTCTTTAGAAATTCCATAGCTCAGGCAGGTATCTACCACACATTTGCACAGGATGGAAACCTTTCTTCTTTCTTCTTCTTCTTCTTCTTCTTCTTCTTCTTCTTCTTCTTCTTCTTCTTCTTCTTCTTCTTCTTCTTCTTCTTCTTCTT